GTTTGGGGTTTAGGGTTGGGAGGTTTCGATCGGCCTTTGCAAGGTCTGTATAGGCGCTTTTTTTCAAGGCCTTCATGCAGTGCTACGGTGGTTTGATGGGTTGCTTGCTGTGCATGGGTGTGTAGTTTCTTTTGTTTAGGGGGTTCTGAGTTTTAGGCATCCTTTGCTTGGGGATTTGTGGTAAGATCCAATGGTTTTGGGTCCATGTATCGGTCGCCATTTTCTGAAACTCCCTACTTCGACGCCGTAAGCAGCACCTAAGCTGACCTAAACCTCGGCCTTCCAAGGTACACCCCGCTCCAAGGGGGTCGCATGCAATACCCCTAAACCCTAAACCTAAATAATTACCAGTACTGCTTTGGAGGTTCAACCTTATTTTTGATTCTAGTATCATGGGCCCGCAATCCCTATTCTAACTAAGGCCTCTATATACTACTTGTCGCTGATGTTTATGTGGCGTCTTGGGCACACAGGGAGGCTGAGAAAGCCACGGACCGTATTGTTGTGGTTTGGGGCTTTGGGTGTTAACGGCCTTTCTGGGGTGTTGTGCACAAGGGTTCAGACTCGGACAGTACCACCAAGCAAAAGTGCAAACACTACGTATATAGAGTATAAGGGTATACCGAGTATAAAGATTTGTCATACAGTGCTAACAGGCGAGACTGTGATTCTACTGCAAACTGCTCCCAAACTAGCACACGCCAAGGCTCTTGATGACACCACTGGCCATCATCTCGTGATACAGGTCGTTGCCCTCACGAGTGCGCTCACCTCGCGGCTACTAAACCCTGGCCCTAAATCCTAAACCGGCCACAAGGACAGGAAGGAGCTTCAAGCCTCCCCCAGTCCCTCCCAACGACTCTTTTACGTTTTAGCCTGAAAGGCTGCAAGTCAGTACAAGGTGGACCTCTCAAGACTCCCGAAACCCATGAAGTACACTAGGGCCGCGCGCTCCTAAAGGGTCCGAACTCAAGGCAGCGCACTCCAGCGCCGGGAAGTAGGCAGCTAGCAGCTGTGGGTTCCGGGTTCAGGAGCTACTATGAAGCCAAGAGGGGCTCTTCGGACAGCTGCCCTCGACGTCGCGAATCATGAGAATGTGCCAGCTGAGGACCCCACCCACTCCAGCGAAGACGCTGTAGCCACCGTGCCTCCGGAGCTATGTTTTCTCTGAAGGTCGAGGCTGCCTTATGTTCCGTATTTTAGGGTTAGGGTCTCAGTAGGTTGGGAACTAGTTGCAGCAAGCAGCCATGAGACTGCATGTTTCACTGCAGTCACATGGACATGTCATCTGTGCGGCCATGCCACTTGAGCGCAATGTTGTGGATCAGCTCCATAATCACAACCTAAGTCTACCAAGAAGGGTCTGGGCGAACTTGGTTAGCAGGGAGGCACCGAATGTCATGCTCAGATCCCTAGTGTAGAAGCGAGCATGGTCTATAAATCAGGCGTCTTCGTTTAGTGCAACTGCCACAAATGCCAGGGCATGTGCCGTCTTGCCCACTCCGGCACCGCCGAAAAGCCCGATCTTTCCTGGCGATGCAGGCAGCAGGCTTGGATGCTAGCTTTGATTTGGTGAAGTAGAGCTTACTGTAGTACTCAGAGGTTGCAGGAAACAAGATACCGGTGTTGGGATTTAGGTTTTGGACTGAAGTTGCCTACCCGAGCCGACACTCAAGGCCGGAGTCCTCCCTTGGCGTAGGGCGCCAACCTTGGACATGAGGATTGTTCCAAGGGTTTCCAGTCAACCCTAAACGCGCCAAACTCGTAAACTCCAAACCTCCCGCGCTTAACCCCTAAACTCTAAACCCTGAACACTAAGCCTTAAATCTTTAGGGTTTGAGGGTTTTGGGGGTTTAGAGCTTGTGACTTTGGGTCTCTCTTCGGTGTGAGGCTTTGCTTCCGGGGGCTGGGGCTTGCGGGTTGGTGATGTAGGGTTCCGGATCCGAGGTCTGAGGGTTTAGTGCTTGTAGAGTTTATTAGGGTTTAGGGTTCAGGATCAACTATATGGCTTAGGGCTTCGTCAGGGTTGTAACATTGTTAATCTGAGTTTCTTTCAGTGGTTGGGGTTCGAGGGCGTCGAGGGCTGCAAGTCTTACACATGGGGTTGGGAGCTGCAGCCGCTTTTTCGGGGTGCTTCAAGAACTAGGCAGGGGCAGCTGAAAAGGAACACTCCTGGGGCTTAACAACGCCGTAATGATTAGAACCTAGCGCTGCTGGGCTTTAGGGTTCCAAAATTTTAGAGTGTGGAGCCAGGTTTTGATTTGTAACTAAACTGTCTCCAAAAATCCTGACGGCCCCAAGCAGCCTACATGAGCGCGTCGACGAATTTCTTCTGTGCAATAGAAGCACTCCCCAATCTAGGCGCCCAAGCACTGATGCCAGGGTAGTCTAGTAGCACAGTCTGGTGCTGCGGTAGGGGGTAAGTGATTTGTGCCTTATACCACACCTACAGTGCACGGGGGCTCGAAACGAACAGTATCACAAGTTGCCGCGGCTCCCATCAACCGCTTCAAAGAATCTATACCGTGTGCAATTAAATCAAAGTCGGACAACAGCCTGCGTGCACCAAAACCCTAAACCCTGAGTTCGAGAACCCTAGCCATTATGGAACCTGCGTAGCAACCCTCATAGAATCCGAGGCTGTCCATGCTCAGCGGCAGGTCCACAACCTTGATACCAGTGAGAAGCTGCTGTGCCGTCGTGTTCATTTCTGTGAACGTCGGCGTGGGCCTGCACTCAGACGTCAAGATGCGATTCATTCGGGATTTGGGGGTGTAGGGTTCAGCGGTGCTGCAGGTTTTTGGAGCTAAGTATAGGATGTTCTTATACTTTGACTCTATAATCACTGAATAAACAATCTGTATATATATATATATGGGGTAGCCCCCCACGGTACCTGCCTCTTTTGTGTGTTTTGTTGTGTTTTGGCAACACTATATGCCTAAACTTGTTGTGGTGGCTTTCAAACCCTCAGCAGCCCTATCTAAAGAAACACCGCTATGAATTCAGAATAGGCCCCACCTCCACTTTACCTAAACCATACCAAATTAAATATGAGTCCTGGTTTGCGAAATCGGGGCCGACTCAAGTTGAGTCGGCCCGATTCAAGTTGAATCGTCGACCGGAATGAAGATTGCAGATTGAAGATCTTGGAAAAAAGTTCTTCCGGGATCTTCAACCTTCACTCTCCAATCCGGCCATCGGTTCAAGTTGAATCTCCGCGAAATCGGGGGCCGATTCAAGTTGAATCGGCAAGGTTCAACTTGAATCGGCTTCGCACAAAACCTGCATCCCGCAGGTTCGCTCTCACACAACTTCCTCTAGCAATCATTCGGGCCATGCCTTAGATTCCGGTGTCAGGGGGGGAGAATATTGGGAGTATGGCTTCGGAGCAGATGTTCGGATCTCCGTACAGGGAAGATAACGTGCGGGGACAATCTTACAAATGATTCCGCCCTCTATATTATTACACTTCTGCACCTTTAAGCAATTCGCAGTTCTTCGCGATGTGGTCTCCACCGTATGCGCGTTACTTCGCGTTTACTTGTGGGCTGAAGGACGACGGACATTCCCATTCCATTATCCTATGCACTGCGAGGTGCCTTACTGTTGATGAACAACTGTTGATGGACAAAGCTGCATTGCCTTTGTCACCTTCAACTGTGGGAGCTACAATACATATTGAATAGGCCCTAAACCCTGAACCCTAAACCCTAAACCGTTTTGCTGAAGGTTACGCAAAGGCTGTATCGCGGGATACCCTAAGCTAAACGTAGTCTATATCAGACCTAGGCCTAGGCCCCAGCCGTCCATGCACCCAAAAGCAGTTTCTGCTTTGGCCCTAAAGAGCCCCTATCTAAGTAACTAGTTTAGGGTCATTGTTTATTGTATTTGGGCACAAAAACCCTTAGGGTACTTGCACTTCAAACTCTTCACCGGCTTCTTCGCGGCTTCTAATAATGACCCTTAAAGACAAGGGGCCCTATACCCTTGCACGACAAATCCCTAACTGGTGCATGAACCTTAAATCCATTTAGGCCCCTTTCGTTTTAACGTCTGCCCAGAAGCAAAAGATGTAATCGGAGTGCAAAGGTTCTGGATAAAAAAAGGCTTCGCTAGTTTGAGCAGGATTCGGGTTTATCCTGCTATCCTTGTGGTCGAAGAACCTACCGTTTCAGCGTTCCTTATTGTGGTGTCTGTATATAACTCCTTAAGAACGGTGGCAGTTATAGAACGTAGTACTAGGAACTTGGTTCGGAAACCTTGGGTTCTTATTCAGGTTCTTCCTGTAGATCCTGCTATTTTGGAGTTATGGGACCAGGGCTTTTAATCAGCTTCCTACAGTATCCAATATAGGAGCATCTTAGTGGTCAGAAAAGGGTTATTGGGCACACTTCAGTATAGTAACACGGGGACTGCAAAGGAAAGTTATCGCGAATTTTCAAGCGCTGTACGAACGTCCTCCTTTCCAACTATAAGCACTATAACAATTTACTTTGGTTCTTCAGTTTTAGTGAAGAACCCACCCAGAAAAACAACAAGGATAACGCGGTACGACTGGAGGACCTGGTCGTGGTCGAAAGCTGTTGTCAATCCCCTACAGATCAAATGAAGCAGCCCAATGTAGGCAAACCTACCCCAGTGTCTCATCTATGTCTGCGTCTCCTCTGTGATACTGGCACAACCATGACGCAGCAGACGCACGTGGATGTAGGCGGTAAGGGCTCATTGGCACCATCATGCTGCAGCATTCTTTGCAACCTAGATGACGATTACTTATACCCAAAAGCGCACGAAACAGCGAAAAGGTAGGTGCCGGAGGGGGGGAGGTAGCATATTTGGTACCCCCCGCGGTACCTGGGTATACATAAATAACAAATAAAAATAAACATAAATATAAATAAATAGATAAATAAATAAATATATACATACATACATACATACATACATACGTACATACATACATATATATATATATAAACAAGTCCTCGTGTCGCCTTGCAGCCTTGCAGAACTGTGCTGCAATAAATCCCAAAATCCTACCAAAAGTTATTCAGGCACCTAAGCTCAGCCTTCGACCCAGAAGACCTACCTTCGTAAGAAAACTATGTATAGAGTCTTTTCGGCTACAGGTAAGGCCTAAATCTCAAAACTTTATTATTCAAATTATTCATGCACCCGCACTGAGAGGTTGTTTCAGGCTTAAGAAGGAATCACATATCAAGAGCCCAAGCAGAAGATTAACCAGCCGAGAAGAAAAGGACCAGGGGATCTGGCAGTCGAGTCTTGTGCGATTTTGGCGGTTTGAGGTTGACCCCTACCACTCCAAACCCTTGCTGCAACCAAAACCGGAACACCTAGCTAAACACCCAACTACTGAACCCAAGCCCGTAAGCCCTCAAAGTCCAGCCCACAAACATTAATTATATGAAAACCGACACTTCAGCTGGGCCATGCCTGTGGATGGCATAGAACCTTGCAGCGGCTTTGCAAACAAAGATTGCGTGATAGAGAGAGTCACTCAAGCTGTTCGGTGTATGCTTTGTGCAGTTTTAGCATGGTTTAACCTGTACCGCATACGGCCTCGGACACATTCTACTGTGTTCATGGAAATAGTAATGGTGTCCTGCAGCAGTTCTCTTTTATATGCGTGTGCAAATATCCTGCAGCTTTCAAGAAACACACCCTGAACCGAAACTAGAGTTAGAAAGCTGCAAGTCTTGCAGACCCTGCCAAAGTGTTTCGAGTCCTTGAACGCTGCCACCTTCGTGGCACCATGCAGCTAATTTAACAAACGCCCTACCCGGCACATGGCCTGCAACCACCTTGAACACGAAAAAGCCCCTCAAAGGCCCCTTTAAGTTGTAAGGCCAAAGCCCAACTCCTGAAAAGCTACCAAAAAAAACAGCCTTGACAAGGACCTGAACAAATCTGTGACCCGAACAGGCGCATGTCTTCGACGTGCCGGAGCTTCGTGACTCGAGGGCTCGGTAGAATGTCATCGTGCATTGGGACAGCTACTGGGTTTAGGGTTTACGCTTTAATTAGGGTTTGGGGTTTAGGGCTACTGTTTCTACTTGTCTGAAGGTTTCATACTTGCCTTTTGCGTTGTAGGGCCTTCGCACCCAACGGCCGCCACGGAAATGTGGAATTCTTCTAGGTTTTAAGCAGCAGCATCTGGAAGCTTTGCAAGCCCAGTTCGTATATAAACTAAGTGAAGCAGTTTACTTTGCGGTAGGGATCACGGCTAGTGGTCTAGGACTTAGGGTTCCGATATGTCTGTAAGGACTCGAGCCCTGCTTCCTGAACCCTGCCTTCCCCTCAGATGGAGGACTCCATCTGGAAGCTATCCTCCGGATTTAGTTAAGACTTGCTTGAGAATCGAAGGCTTTCTGGTTGGCCGCGTACTTCCCTTTTGTATCCCTTGGGAGAGGCACACAAAGAGCATCCCAGCACTTCAAGGTGAGGAGCTTCTTGGTATCGATGGGGCCGAGCTCGTCAATGGGCTCACCGATGATGTTAATGATCCGGCCCAGTGTCTGCTCACCCACCGGCACCTGAGGTTCTGCCCGAATTCTAAAAAACCCTAAAAGCCCTAAACCCTATAACCGAAGATCCGCAAAAACCGAGACCAAAACACCAAACTCACGAGACTTAGATGAATCCGAAGCCCCGAACCCAACAGTCCGAACCCTAAAGCGAGGACGAAGGTGGCAGAAGCCTCACGCCAACAGCTATAGTCTAGAAGGGATCCGGCAGGGCTTCGGGTGTCTAGGAATAAAGACTCCAGTGTCACCTATCAAGCTTCAACTCCTAGAAACCAGAAGACTTGAGAGGTCGCAAAGAGGCATTGATGCCTAAATTCAATGATGAAGTCTGTGCCTGGCCATATTTTCCTAAGCAGTTTCCTCCTGTAGGCTGCTTAGATACGTACCAACAATTCCTTTTTCCATTGTCCCAGACTTGGTAGGCAACTCTACCTGGATCTCGCTTAACAAATGGGTCAAACGCTCCCTGCTGACGAAGCTGCCGTGATCGGGGCACCGGTGTCCTCTACTAACTGACCGCGGGTCAGGCCATCTGTACCATCCATGGCAATGGTGCGCACCTGGGCTATGGTAAGGCTACGGGACCCCTAAACCGAGAGTTGCGGGTCCAGATTAGGGCCACGAGAATCTGGGACCAAAACCCAGAAAAAATCGCGGTGTAGCACCAAAGTCCTGAAACTCTACCCTAAACCCTAAACCCTAAACCGAAACTCTGTATAAAACCCGAAAGGCCCCAAAACCTGAAGGCCCAGTTGAAGCCCTAAAAGTCGACAGCCTCAAGGCCTCAATCAGAAATCCTTGTAAGGCCTTGCAAACACCCCAATACCCCAATACCCCAAACCCCTAAACCCCTAAACCCTAAGTCCTAAACCCCTAAACCCTAACCCCCTAAGCCCTAAACCCCTAAACCCAAAACCCTAAGCCAGCTTGAACCTTGATGTCCGGTCACATTTCCCTGCCTGCAGTTCATGGCGAAGAGCTCTGTGGATGACGCACCGT